TGCGGAATCAGTAGCCTTTGGTTTCTCCTTGGCTTCGCATGGGCTGGAAGTGCGGACACGAGTCGTAGGGGTTGGCTGCCTTTCCTGAGAGGCCTGAAGCAGTGCGGAATCAGTAGCCTTTGGTTTCTCCTTGGCTTCGCATGGGCTGGAAGTGCGGACACGAGTCGTAGGGGTTGGCTGCCTTTCCTGAGAGGCCTGAAGCAGTGCGGAATCAGTAGCCTTTGGTTTCTCCTTGGCCTCGCATGGGCTGGGAGTGCGGACACGAGTCGTAGGGGTTGGCTGCCTTTCCTGAGAGGTACGAAACAGGGCGGGAGTAGTGGCTGCTGGCTTCGGACGGGTGCTTCCCACTAGAGAATTTGAGGTCTCCCGTCTAATGCTCCCGCTCACCGGGCGTGAAGGGGGAGCGCGACTTGCGGTTTGTGGCGACGGCTCCTTCTCACGGCGGCACGGCGCCACATTTGCTGCAGTATTCATGCCGGTTTGCTGTGGTACTGCCGTCTCACGCACCTTCAACGGCACCACAATATCGCTGATATCCCCAGATGAAACTGGAGAGGATAACTGCTTGCTGAGTGCGGGAGAAGAGTTCTTTGGAAGCGTCCGCTTGTTGTGGAATCGTGCAACAGCAGCAACAGCAGCAGCACTGGGGTCCTTTGGCAATTCCGATGCGTTGTCTTTCTTTGTGGATGGTAAACATGGTTGTCGCACCTGCAGCACCTCCCTCCGCTGTTCATCAAGAAATCGAGAAATCTGCGCAGCAGGATCCAGGCCCTTGTCGTACTTGTTCTGGACTTTGCGAGTCGCTCGGAATCTGTTGAGTCGATCGCCCAACGCAGCCGCTGGTGCTGCGAGACTATGCTCGTCGATCAGTGTCTTCCAGCGTGCTGCCGTCAGCCTCGTCTCAAAGGAAACGGCCGCCTGCTCCATCCTCTTTTGTGCCGCGGACTGGAATTGCTCCAGCTTACCAAGAACCACCTGCTGGAGCGTCTCTATCTGCACGGCAAACGCGCCAGCGCCGGCTGGCTGCACGAGATCACCGCTGCATTCTTGCACGCCCGCACGCATCTCCCGCAGCCTCTGCGTGCCCAACTGCGCGAAGTCCCCATCCTCGCCAAAGTAGAACATGTACGTGTCAGTCAAACTCCGCGCAGTCTCATTCAATTCATCACACCTCTGGCTCGCGGTGTAGTGTATCGTATCCCAGAGGTGTTTGTTGTTTGCGTCCTCCATGAGCACGGCACGCAGCGCGGGTCGCTTAGCTCTCCCCAGGGAAGGTACTGGCCGCTTTGTCATTTGGCTGAGAGTAAACTCTGGCACGATGATCCATATTAGCTCTTTCTTCAACCGCCGCATCATACGCTCGTGCACATCCGCCGGTGACGGGGACAGCGTGACGTCCCCGCCGGCGTATGACCAGAGCGCCTTGACAGTAAACAAGGGGCGCACCGCCAGGCCGTCGTGGCCCAGCAGATGCCGGTGAATATACCATAGGATCAGATGCACAAGGCCGCGCACAACCGTCTCAAAGACGTCCTCGAACATGTGGACAAGCTCCACCCACAGCGATGGGCACATTGGTGTGCTGCTCTCGTCCGCAAGGTATGAGAAGCGGCCGCCGCCGAGGCAGTTGAGGGCAGCCAGCATCTCGTTATGGGCCTGGCTCACCACATCCCCCGCACGACGCAGTGAGGCGTGCAGCTCCGCGTCCCACCGCTCAAAGGAGGGAATACCCCCGTCTCTCTCCGTGCAGCTATGGGACCCCCGCCGCGCTGTTGCAGGACATCCGATGAAGTCCTCCCATCCCCAACCTGCGGTCTGACGCTGGATACTTGCAATGCGGTCACGAAGATGCTGATACGCACCGTCTAATTTCGCACAACCGCGCGGCTTGGCGTCTTCACATTCTTGTGCGTTGTACGAGTCTGGCACCAGCTTCCAGAGTGTCGCGAGTGCCCCCTGAATCACGTCCTTCAGCACACTTGTGAACTCCTCCGCCTGCTCCACCAGCGCCGTCGTCAGCGGGCACTCCGATGCAGGGTACACGAAGCGACGTGCCAGGGCAGTGTAGAGTGACTTTCGCTTGGCCTCAATCCAATTCTGCAGGTCCCCCAGTCGCCGCCACTCCTCCTCGTCGATGGTACTGCTTTTATGCTCCGCTAAACGCGTACGCTTCCCCTCCTGCAGGCGCCACTGCACTTCCAGCTCCAGCAGTGTATAGATAGGATTCATGGCACACAAGCGCTTATGCCTAGAAGAGATTGTTTTTTTTTTGAGAAAAGCAATAGGAAAAGTGGGCGTCTCAAGAGACTGAAGCAGAAAAAACAAAAAAAGCAATTAGAAGGCATAACTCAATGGTGCGGAAGTGGAGAAAACGTTGGCAGTACGCACAGCAATGCAAGCCGCATCTGCAGCTCGCAGGACCTGCTGCGGAGCCCCAACCACCTGTAGAGGACAACGGCAACTACGCCAGTGCCATCACCACGCAGCGTGAGGCGAGACAGCACACATACACACACGCAGGCGCCGACGCCACCCTCAGCTGTTGCCAGTCGCACAGAAGCATCAGCCAGCGGTGACTCCCAAGGCAGAGGAACGCACAAGCCATTACCAACGGAAGCACAACTGTCGCACACGTCGCCCCACATCAGCCCGTATATAACTCGCCAAGTTCACAAAGCAAGGATCTTTAGGATATAACATATAATATAAGATATATACATACATACACGTGTCCAGGTAAAACATGAAAGAGATTGGATACGCAGGAACAAAACAAAAACAAGAAAGAAACCATTGTATCCGCGAATGCAACGATACAACGATTGTATCAGTGAGCCCATTCAGCAAGAAAAAACAAAAACGAAAATGTATGGTATAAATGAAAGCAGCAGCTCCGGTGAAGAATGAAACGCCTACCAAGCAGCCCACAGTACTGCGGTCTGGAACATAACGAGCTATATCCCACAACCATCAGTTTCCCTTGGTCAAACTTCAAACAGGATTGCAGACAAAAACAGGCATTCGAAAAGAAAAGGTGTATCAAAACATACTTAGGCCTTCAATGCAGCTATTTTGTTATTGTATTTTCTTTTCCAGAAAACCCATAAATATATAGAGGAATATTACAACACGTCAAGCACATCGATAAACCTTCGGGCGCGAACATTGATTGAAGCAACAGAAGGAACGACGATTGAGCTCCAATCGCCACACCTGCAGCTGGAGAGCATACAGGCATTGGGGAGACAAGCGTCTATCCTCATTACATTAAGCTGGCCAGACAGAAGCCACACGTGGTTGCTCTTCATGGCCCATTTCCGCACACGCGGCTGCAAGCACCACGGAAACCATTACTGGGCCTCTTGACGATCGTCTCCGTCCTACATCATCGCTGGCGTATGTGCCATGATCGTCACAGTGCTGCACACCGCACCGGAGATGGAGTCCCCAAACCGAGTGCTCGAGTGCATTCGTAGCGACGACACCGCCGAGTATGAATGCACACTGCTGCACTGCGTCATTGATCCTTTGAAAACGTTCCAGTAGTTGTCAAAAGGCGCACCACGAGAATCCCGTTTGCCCCGGACCTTCTGGTCCAGCACATGACCCATCTTGACTGCCAGCCGCTCAATCATTTCGTTGCAGTGGTCGATCGGAGACGCAGACCAACTCTTGTGCAGCACACGCACATTCCACCGCTCGCACATTACAGTTAGCATCTTCATCCTCTGGGGAACGGCAACGGGGGTGTAGAAATCACTTAATAAATGTGCTACCGCAGAAGCTGTTCCACTCAACTGGACGTTCTTCGACTGGGACGAAAGTGACCCAGAGCTAGTACTCTCTTCGCACAAGTCCGCAGCATCCTGACGGTCAAGCCGCAGTGCGGCGAAGGTACGCCCGGGCACAGCGTTCAGCTGGTACATCGCCACAGGCACAGGCACACCGCGCAGCGCAACACCGCCAAGCGCAGTCACGTCCAGCTGCTCACGCTCAGCCGTGCTCAGCGCCAGGTACGCCGCACCCGTCAGCAGCACCTGCCCGCCGTTAGCAACACTCTCAGTGCGCGCAGCCATGTTCGACGCACCACCGTAGTAGTCGTAGCCCTTCGTCACCTCGTCCTGCCGGATGTCAGACAGCCCGGTGTGCACACCCACACGCACACGCANCCAACGCTCTCAGTGCGCGCAGCAGTGTTCGACGCACCACCGTAGTAGTCGTAGCCCTTCGTCACCTCGTCCTGCCGGATGTCAGACAGCCCGGTGTGCACACCCACACGCACACGCAGGCCGCTCCAGTACGCCTGATACACAACAGCAGCGTCGAGGCGCGCAGTCGGCGGCACGTACTCCTCGTCCTCAGCAGCACGGCCCTCCTCGAACTCGTGGTACGCAGCGTCGATCGCACCACTGCCCCAGTCGTACTGCAGCAACATCTGCTGTATGTCCCGCGCAAGCTGCACGGCGGCCCACGCACTCTTGCACGCAATCATGAAGGAGTCGCCGATCGTCTTCACCTCGTAGCAGCGGTACGTCGCAATCAGCGACCGGATCAGCCGGTGGTGCGTCGCCACAGCGTCAGGCATGATCTCGGGGCACGCAGCCCACAGCGCAGTGCTGCTCTCGATGTCAGTGAACACAAGCGTCACGGGGTCTGTGGGCTCCTTCGGGGCGTTGTTGTTGTCACGACTGTCGCTGCAGCAGCACAGCAGGACCACAAACAGGGTGATCAGCGCCACCACACCAACAACCGAGCCGACGATTACACCAATGAGCTGCGCCTTCGTCAGCCCGGTGACCACCGGCTCGGTGTACAGCATCGACGGTGTCATGGGCGGTGAGAGCGGCGGCACCGATGGGTCAATGGAGCGCGACAGCGACCACACAGCAATGGAAGTAGCACCGTAGTTCACCAGGCAGTCACCTGGCACCACATTGCTGCACCTCGCGGGGTCCGACCTGGCGAACGGGCCGTACACCATGTCATCCACTGTCAGAACTATTCGCGAGTATATCGTCTCTTCAAAGAGTTCGGCGGTGATCACATCCATCACGCTCCCAATCGCCATTATAGCACGCGCTATCGCGAAGCCCTGTAGGCTAAGCGGCGACCGCAGAGACACATTAGTGACAGCCGCATGATAATTCTGCACAACTTCGCTCTTCGTGTTGGGATCATTCCAATGAGGAAGGCTGGTTGCATAGATAATGCGGTCGGTAGTCGTATTTACCGTGAGCGTGCCAAACAGAGAGTACAGCGTGTTGTGCTCAGAGAAGGGTATCAAAACACGCAGGCCCGGATTGGCATTAACGTGGTTCACCATGGGGATTGCATCGTCGGTATCGATACCGACAAGGAAAACCCACCCGTCCCTCGGCATGGAAGGGATCACACTGGTTCCTGGTGGGAAGAGTGCCAATGACGTCAGCTGGAGATTAAACGTCACGAGAGTCCGGCGCAACACAGACACCACAGAGTCCAGCTCCTCACCCACCATCACGGCATGAACTGACATGACACCAGTCTGTACCAAAAACTCCGCCAGCCTGAAGAACCCCTGGTCGAGCGTCGGGGAGAGGTAGAAGGCGTTGCTTAGCGCAAAGCGTGGAATCATGTAGAGCCCAATCGGATCGATGAAGGTCAAATTCGGCACAGTAAACGCCGGCGGAAGCACCAACCCCCCGAAGATATCCACGTGCCGCTCCTCCTTCTCGGCCATCAGCGCAGCCCGAATCTCACTCTTCGTTCCAGACAGCGGCGTCAAGGTGAATTCCCGAGCACGTTGAAGCGGCGGCGGCAACGCTGCCCGTCCACCACCCAAAATCTCGCCCATACCGTAACGTCCACGTCGGCTGTCAGTGGCCACGAACGTCACTGCGTTGATGGGTGTGAGCAACCTCCTAGATGTGGGGTAGCAGTTGTACAGAGGGTACGTGAACTCGGCATCAGGCATTACATTGGCACTAAAGCCTTCGCCGAATATCTTGATCAGCACTGTTCGGCCGCCCTGGTTGCAGCGGCACGTGGCGCCCTGCGAAGCAGCACGGCCGCTGCAGTCGCCACCAAAGTCGCCAATCACCAAGTCCTCCACCACGTACCGCCGCTGGTTGAACAGCGCCCTGGCGAACACTTCTCGGCTCCTCAACCAGTCGGCCGAGGCGAGTATCTGCGTGAGGATCTCACCGGCAATCCAGCCGCCCACCATCGTCTCCCCCATAACGTCGTCAGTCAGAAAGTAGTGTGAGTCATTGTAGTCCGTCTGCCCACTATTCTCCAAGTAGTCCGCCATCACGGTCTGGAAGCGCCTGACCGCATCGTACCGCGTGTCCGTCGCCAGTGGGTTCGCCCCCGTCGTGATGACGCGGCCAGGAACGAGAGGGGCACCTGCTGCCACAGCTGCCCTCCAGCTCGATATCAGTGTGTTCTGGATCCCAAGTGGAGACAGCAGGTACGCAGTGCTTGTACGACTGTCGCTCAGCATCTTCTCAACGAACAACGCAGTCGTCGGCGACGGCCTACCGAAGATGATCACAGCTTGTGGGCGCGTCTCCGCGAACCTCTCCCACTCCGCCTGGAACTCAGCGTCGCTCGCGCTCCAGTCCCTCGCGCCCGTCAGCCTGAACACACCGGACAGCGCGTAGCCCATGCCCCGCAGAAGACTCACCGCAGCAGCGTACTCGTCGTCTCCATACACAACATCCGTCAGGTACATGAAGCCCAGCCGGAGCACGCGCAGGTACGTCGTGGCATACCACACATGAGCGTACAGGCCAGACATGGGGTCCGTGCGGAGAAAGTAGAAGTTCGGGTCCCAGTGGCGCACCTGTGTTGAGCCGGTGTAGGGGCCCAACGCCACCAGTTGATGCTCCTGCAACGCTGGTAGGGCGTACATCAGCGTCTGGTCGCCCACTGGGCCAAGAACAGCGAGGAGGTCGGAGTCCGCCGCAACCGCACGGCTGATCGCCGCGGG